CATGGCGTGGCGCTGCGTAATGAAGAATTGCATCACAAAGTATTGCAACACAAAGAATGGCATCGCACAGCGGCACAGAACAGAACATGGTATAGCATGGCGTTGAAGATCAAAGCGTAGAATGGTAGAGCATGGCATGGCACTGCTGCATATCCTAGCATTGCAGCTGATGGCATGGCATCGCACAGCGGAACACCACATATAATTGCATTGCATGCCGTGGCATGGCACTGGAAATAATGACGCCAGCGCTGCAGCGGGAGCACGATTCGGAGCGAGCGGAAGCGCGTGTATGAGGCCAGCGCTGCAGCGGGAGCACGATTCGGAACGAGCGGCAGCGCGGAAATGAGGCCAGCGCTGCAGCGGGAGCACAATTCGGAACGAGCGGCAGCGCGGAAATGAGGCCAGCGCTGCAGCGGGAGCACGATTCGGAACGAGCGGAAGCCCGAGAATGAGGCCAGCGTTTCAGCGGGAGTAACTTTTTGAGAGACAAAAACACGGAAACCAACTCCCAGGAATCCTGTGTAAGACAACAGTACGCGGAAGGGGGGTCAAACATCTTCTGGACGTCATCAGGGGAGGGAGGAGAGTAGTATTCAAATTGTGTAACTGTGGAGGACGGAGGATGAAGAATCGTGGCGGGACAGGACAGGGCAGGAACCGCTCGACGAGATCCATCGACTGCCGCACGACTCAAAAACGGAGTGGACCTCAGGAGGCGAAGTCCCCATGTCAAGAGGCACGTAGCGCGCGTGCTGACCCTCTTCCCGCACAAGCGTAGAATCGAGGAGGGGGAGAGATCGAGGATCGATCCTCGACCCTCCTCACTCCTCGATCCCCCCAACCCCAGGGCGCTGCGCGGGGGTGGAGGATTGAGGAGGGAGGGGGATGGGGGAGGACCGATGATCGAGGTTCAGACTGGAGGGCGTCGACGACGTCTTCGTTTCGCAGGCTCTCGGTCGTTTCTGGGGGTCCTCGTCGCCCCAGCTGGACGCAGCTCGGACAACTTGAAGACCCAGAAGGGGTCCAGGGATTGACGCTGAGAGTGTCTCCAGATCGACGATTAAGGTTTCTGAAGCCGCTTTGGCCGCTAATGGGGGCCTCCGGGGTAACCTCCCGGGACTTCTGGGGATCCCCTTGGATTCCTGGAGGAGGAGGAGGAGGAGGAGGAGGAGGCGGAGCGTACCTGGGAGAGGTCGTCGTCACTCTACTCATCTGCATGCCCTCCGTGCCGCTCTCCCTGCGAGAGCACGCGGCAGGGGCCTTCACGATGGTGTAGTCGCCTGCTTGCTGCCAGAGGGCCTGAAAAGGAGGCCTGCTCCGCAGCAGACAGCACCCTGATCCCAGCACAGTTGCGGGGCATATCATAATCCACGAAGCGAAACAGGGTGAGGTGGGGCGGGGACGAGGCATCATCGGAGCGAGGGGAACGAGGGGGAGAGGGAGCCGACACCGGCGATGCAGGAGTTTGAGGCCCGCCTGCAAACATGGCCTGCTCTTCGGCAGTGATCACCCTGATCCTGCTGGGATCGCGGGGCATATCATAATCAACGAACTGAAATTCGATGAGCTCATCATCGCGACAAGGACTGAGCACTGAGGGGGGATCAGGAGGGATCGAAGCGAGAGATGGCTGAGGCGACGCAAGCAATGGGAGACCTATTACCTCAGAGCCCCGAGCCTCACTCATGAGGTCGTCCTCCTCGTTGGCTCGGCGGGCCGCTTCGATGGCCTCACGCAGGGTGGGCCGACGCAGAAGTGCCAGCTGCTGTCGTCCACGAAGAGGGAGCCTCAGCGCGGTCTGCGCAGCAGGGACCAGCTCCAGCGCACGTGCGTAGGTCGGTGGGGAACTGTGCCGTGCCGCCATCAGCCGATAATGGTGGTAGCAGGCAATGAGAGAGGCCGGAGTCGGCCCCAAGAGCCCAAGTCGATGCCGTATCTCGCCAGGGAGATCTTCACGAAGAGTGAGGGCGCCGAAGTGCGCACACCGATAGCACTCCACCAGATAATGTCGCATAGTATCGGGACCGCCACAACCATAGATACACCACGCCTCTCGCTGCATACGTCGGTGAGTGATCCATCCCCCCAGGTACGCCCGCACACATATGAACGCCCAAGATGCGGGCATAAGCTGCAGCTGACTGATGACCGTGGGCCAGCACACGTCACGAATATCAAAGTGCTTCTGCACACGGGCGGCGAGTAGCTCCTGGAGTCTGTCAGGGAAGACCGCCCGCTGGAAGATGTCGGTGAAAGCCGCCTGCCACTTGGGTGCTCGTGATAGTGACACACCTTGACCTTCCGCTGGCTCCGCAACACGACGGGCAAGGCTCCATGGGAGCTGACAGGGAGTGGGTCCAGCACGAAAGAACTCGATCACCTCTGCGGGGACGGAAGAGTCGCCGCCTCGCCATAGACTTAATGCCATTTGTCCTCCCGCTTTCAGCAGTTGGGACGATGGAAAGCCCTTCGCTGCCTCTTCCAAGCGGCAGGCAAAAGGAGGGGCCAACCAGAAGTCCGGAGCCAGGATGTCACTGGTAGCTTGGGAGAACGTGCCATATTCCCAAACAAGGTCACGATGTCGTTGCAGCTGCGAGCGCCATGTCGAACATGTTACCAGAGCCGCACGAAGACGCGCAGCGGCAGCGATGCAGAAGATCGAGCTGAACCTCGGGCCATTCACCGTGCTCAGCGCGAAGCAGTCACCAGTCCGAAGCATACTAGCGGGAGCGCGCAGGATGCGGGCAAGCAGAAAGCGCTGCTGTTGCCCAACCCGCCAAGGAAGAGGAACCAGCTGGGCAACGTACGACAGCGTGGGAGCGGCTCTTTGACGATATAGCGCAGCAGCCGTGGAGAGAGCTGCGCCCTGTGACGAAATTGCGGTAGTGCGGGTAGCATGCTTGAGAACAGGAGTCGACCATTGACTATCATCTGTGGCTCCAGGCCCTATCTGAAAGCCAAGATAAGTGCATGCAGGAACAATCGCGAAATCTGCCCAGGCGGGGTCGGCCCCCACAAGTTGGCGTCGAAGTAGGGTTCCATGTTCGGGCATAGAAGGGTCACGAAGAGGTATCACATTGCATTTTGCAGGCTTAAGTCGTAGCTGAGCAAACCTCGAAGCATGTCGAAATACTCGAGCCAAACGTGGATACGCCCTGTTATGGAAGAGGACTGCCCCAAGATCGTCTGCACAGGCACGAACGACACCCAGGAGACGCCCACGTGCGACCAAACAATGTTCTAAGTCCAGGAGAAACGGGTTGCTCGCGACGACATAAAGTGAACCACTCAACGGACAGCCCTGAAGCACCCCTGAGTTCATGTGGTATAGGTACATCGGGGAGTCGCCAACGAAGTAGCAAGGAGTGCAGTGGTAAAGGGAGCGGAGAGCGCGAACCAGAGGGGCAGGAATCCGAAGTCGGGCGAGACATTGGAATAGCCACTCCTGGGATACCGATGGGAAGGCCTGGGCGAAGTCGAACGCGATCAAAGACGGAGCTTGGGAGGGTACAGCAGACATAATACTAGCCGAACGAGCGTAGAGGTCCAAATCGACGATATTATCCAGAAAGTTGCGCCTCCGAATAAAGCCCCGTTGTGATGGGGCCCCGATCTTCTGCGTGATCCAGCTCATAGTCTGGTTCAATACACTGCACACCACTTTATTCGAAGAGTTCTTGAGTCCCAGCGGGCGGGTATCACCAGGGGCCCGTACAACGCGCCCATCGTCGGGATCATGGGAGGGAGCCTTTGGGTCCTTGGGGAGGAAGACGGCCAGCAACGCCGTGAAATTGGAGGGCATGAAATTCCCAAGAGCAATCCAGCGAAGAACTTCGAGAAGGACCCTAGACCCCGAACCACATCTCCAGGCCGCATAGTGAAGCCCGTCGGGGCCAGGAGCGGACCAGTTCGACTGCTTAAGTGCACGTTCTACATCGCGAAGGACGGGTGGGCGTACCTCTGAGAAGTCCTCTGAGCTGCTGAATCGGTCTATGTATTTCTTGGCGATGGATGGGACGGAGTGGGTCTTGGAGAAAACAGGGCCCCAATATGAAGCCAGCGCGTCCACCATCGGGGACTGGGAAGGAGGCGCAGGTTCCGACGCCAATGAGCCACCCGCCAGCATCTCCGAAACCGAGATCATCTCAGTGGCCGTGACCGATGCTAAATACTTACGCCGAGAAAGTGGGTTCCATAACTGGGCAGATCGAATGATAGCACGACGACGCCCCGCCAGACGAACCCTGACCGTGTTAGATGACGACTGGTTGATCTCTGACTCAAGAGCTTTCCGACGAGATTCAGCTTCTTGCCGCTGCCACAAACTATGAAGATCATGAAAGCCACCAGGATCGATGAAAGAGACATCCTCACCATCTACCCGTATGAGCCTCTGCGTCCAGGGGTGCTGGATGAGAAGAACTCGTGCAAGACGGGCGTCGCCACGCCAGACACATCGTGCAACCGAACGAGAAATCATAGCCCGAGAGGTCAGAGAGGATGGCGCAGCACGGCAGATGGCATTGCGTGCAAGAAGCCCAGCAGCTTGTCGAACAGCGGTGGCAGCAGCGAGCATTCGCGGCGGGTCGAAAGCAAGACCTTCAATGCCCACCTGGGATTCCATATGGGAGACCAACTGAGCATAAATCTTGTCTTTGTACACCCAACGCGGGAGGGGCCTCTGGCGTTTAGTTCTAGTGTGATCCCGTGGGCGCCAGACGATCTCCAGAGGCGAGTGGTCCGAAATACCTCGGTGGGCCAACTCATGAGGTTCATCACGGACCGATGCTAGCTGAGCAGTTTGACACAGAAGCCATGGTGGGGATGCGACAAAGAGACGATCGATTTTGGACTCACAGGCAGTCGAGGCGTGCCAATGGGTTGGCGCCTCCGATGCGAGCTCCGTCATGTCCCTGAAGATCTTCAGCCAGCTCGAGTCGCCAGGACGGGACGCCCTCGTAGAACCAACCCGCAGGGTGGAGTCGCCACGCTGGCCCTCACCGGCGTGCGACGGTGCTGAGGCGGGCTGCCCCCTCTGCGAGCCTTCCGTCGACGCAGTACTGGGGGAAGCAGCAGACGGGGGAGAAGATGAGGGAGACGACGCCGAGGAAGGAGTCTGACTCGGAGAACATGGCCCAGAAGGTGAAGTACAGGTGGCCACTGTTGTCCCCGACGATGCCGAACGCGGAGAGCATGTGGCCGTGGGGTTGTGACTTTGCAGGGCTGAATCCTGCCCCCCACGGCCTGACGAACATGGAGTACTGGTGTGCCCCTCGCCACGATGGTGTTCGATAGGCGTCGCAGGAATGTTGAAGTCGCCCGTGAGGATCACAGTGAACTTCATTGGATCATCCCGCACTCGCCGAAGTTGCGATTGAACACATGCCTGAATCTCCTTCAAGCCGTCGGCGTTAATGGCAAAATTGTGCACGTTCCAGTGGTAGATGGTGAAGTCGACCTCTGAGTTATGTATAGTAACTAGCAGCACCCGACCAGCGACGAAGCTCTTCCCCACGGCTCGAACGCTTGGGTGCTTTGGGACGAGGGTGGCGACACCTCCAGCCCGAGGCGTCACCGACTCAGAAACGAAGCACGAGTGCGTCGTACAGTGAATCCTCTGAAGAGCTTCTTCCATGGCACATTCACCACCGTGGATCTCCTGTAACGCCACTACTTTGCCAGCCCCCATCAGCTTGCTCAGGTAGCTGAGCTTCCTGCTCAAAATCGCTGGTCTGTAGTGTAACAGGGCCCCCGTGTTCCAGGTCGTGAAAGCCAGAAATCCCACACCAAACACTTCGTTACCCACTCCACCGTACTTCACGTGTGTCGAAGACCTGGCGAGCAAGCTCATTGGCCTCATCCCTGGACAAGCCAGAGTCGGCCAGTGCAGGGAGATTCCATTCCACCTTCGGCGTTCTGCTTGCAGGTAAAGGGAGCACCCGCACCAAGGGCTCCCACTTGGCCAGAAGTTGACCATTGTCCTTGTCGAGGAATGTACGGATGCCACGGTCGGTGAGACCCCGTTGCAGCTTCTTGCAGGCAATCTCTGTGGCGACCATCTTTTTGTTCTTGTCCGCGGAGATATGGATCGGCACCGACTCAGTGCCCACGTCAACATGGAACGCACGCCACGACCCATTTGGCAGTCGGAGCTGCTGCTGGGCCTGACTCCTTCTCGAGGTACGGGTTGCTTCCATGGGGCCTTGAAATGCAAGAGTAAAAGATTTGGCGACGTCATCTCCATGCAGTTCCACACCGTCCCCGAGAGGGACGTTTGCTTCGGTGAGCCACGGAGCCAGGGCCGCCGCCACAGCATTCTTAGCCACAGCAGAGGATGCCCGCACCGTGAGGATGGTGAGGTCCACTTCCCTGTCCCACTCTGGGTTCGGTACAACAGGAGGACGCGGCTTCGCCTTTGCCAGGCCGAGCTCTTTTTCCAGATGCGATAGCCGGTGGGCGAGGCCCGCCACGGTGCTGTCGAGCAGGTCCGATCGAGCACGCTGTGCATGGACCTCACCGTCGACGCGTCGTAGCTGCTGGTTGAAGCGCTCCTCATACTTCTCCATGAGTGGGACCGTGGCCGCGCTGAGTGCGGCAGGGAGCTGTGCCAGGATGGTCTCCATCGCTTTCTGTGTGAAAGCTTGCATGGCCTCTGCCTGGAATGAGTCCGAAGATTGAGCAACGTGTCCGACAGCATCATGAGATGTGGTTCCATTGGACGCAGCCGCCGTCGCCCAGGGATCAGGCGCACGGCCTTCAGCAGAGGTGCCAGGAGTCGCCCATGGTCTCGAGGCTGGTGGAGTCGGCCATGGTGATGGGGAGGGCGAGGCCGCCGCTCCCCCAGTTGCAGGAGGGGCCAGGGCTCGCGCCTCGTCAGCTGGTAATGGGGTGGCGATGCCAAAGTGCTGTGTCCCGCAAGAGCTGTCAACGATGATGGGGGAGGCGCCACGGCCAGCACTGCGGGAACGCCGAGAGCCCTCAGCCGACACATCACTGGCGGCGGGGAGGTAGCGGTCCCGAGTCCGAATGCGATCACGTTCGCGACCATCAGGGGCACCGTGAGAATCCCGAAGATCACGCAGCCGAGCCGAGGGTGATGAGGCACGCGGGGTGGATGATGCAGAACGTGATGAGGCCGTCGTCGCCCGCCGTTCTTCCTTCGCCTTGCGGGACTTCCGTTCATGACGACTGCCGCCCATGAGCACCTGCAAGCACTAAGAACGAGGAGACTCAGGACGGCAGCGCGGAGCTCCCCGTCCAGGTCCTGAGAGAGGATGTCGGGCTGAACAGCCCTGGCACTGCCGCGGACTAGCGGTATCCACTTGTTCCCCTGCGGAACTCAACATCTTGAGCCAAAATGGCTACGGAGGAGGAGGAGGAGGAGGAGGAGGAGAAGGAGAAGGAGGAGAAAAAGGAGGAGGAGGAGGAGGAGAAGGAGAAGGAGGAGGAGGAGGAGGAGGAGGAGGAGGAGGAGGGGCAGCAGCAGCAGCAGCAGGAGGAGACGAGCGTAGAGGAGTAGGAGTCGGAGGAGGAGGCGGTGGAGGGAGGAAATCCAGAGTAAACCCAGGATGTACTAACAATGCTGCAGCACATCATCGCACTTGCAACGCCCTCTCCTCGTGAGTCGCGGAAGGTATTGCTCCTCTGCGCCACGGGAAGCGCCCCATTGCGGAAGGCGAGCGCTCACCGTAGGCCTGCCATTTGGGCGAGGGCCCCGTCTTGCAGAGGATCCCGCCCTCCATCCTTCTGGCCACAAGGCACACAAGGACTTTGGACGAGGAAATTCAAGAAAGTGCCTAGCGAGAGCCACGACCTGCTTTTCTACAAACAAATCAACGCCACACTGCGAAACCTCAACTGCTATGCGATGTAAAGAGTTGCCAGGCAAACCGGGTGCCACCCACGAGCCGACCTGCGATAGACAAACTCATGGAGTGAACCGTCTCAATAGAGAGAGAGAGAGAGACAGACAGAGAGCGAGAGCCACAATCTGTGAAGGAGCAGTCCTCCATCCCCGCCGCTGCTGCAACATTGCAGCTTCGGGCCCAGAGGTCAGAAGAAGTCTGCAGCGAGAGCCCCGTTGTGAAAACTAGCCACCCTCCATCTGTGCGGCTGTTACGCAAGTCCGCACTTCTTCCCATACATCTTGAGAAGATTTCCAGCGAGGCCGCATTTTGAAAAGGAACCGACGCACTCCTTCCTTATGGCCGCTGGAAGCTGTCAAGCCGGGCGTACATGGCGCCGAGGCGAGTACCACGTGAAGAAAACGACTCGAAGGGGGGCACCAACTACACACCTACACCGATCCTGGCCAGAATTACCCTGAGCCCAGGATTGGTGTATACGTCCTCCTGACTTGAACCAGAAGGCATATACTATGCACACCGATCCTGTGCCCAGGAAGTGCCTGGCCAGGGTCGGTGTAGGTGTCTACGTAGTTGGTGCCCTCCGAACTCGGCCATGCTGGGACTGAGAAAAGCCGGGCTGCAAATCGCGCTGCGTCGCCGACGCTACGCGGTGCGACCTGGAGGCCCCGCTTGCCCGAGCCCCTTTCGACGAGCCTGGCAGCGGGGACGAGGCTGCCTGCGCGCGGCAGCTTTCGCGACCCTTGGCCTGCCGGGTCTCCCCCCTCTGCGGAGCCGCCGCAAACTTCCTATCGGCCGCGCCAGCGAACGCAGGCGCAAGGGCCGGTATACCTGCGGGGCGCGCCGGGCGCGGGGGCCGCGATTTGGGAAACGGAGAGGGCGGCCGCGGAGGAAGCCATCGAAAAACATGAGGAGGGCTCGTGGCCCTGGGTTTAAGTCGGGCCTGTCCCCCTACGGGGGAATTTTCAACGAAAAATAAAAAATACCCCGACAATAATCAAAAATAGTCCAAACATAGTCTGGGGACTATTTGTTAAATATTTTTTGACCCTTTTGGAATATTTTGGGGGTATCTTTATTTTTTCGTCGAAAATCCCCCTGTAGGGGGACACGCCCGACATAACCCTGGGTGCCCCCCCGCCCTCCCGCCTCCCGCCCATTCTGGGGAGGCCCCGAGCCCCTGAGAAGCCCTGCGGGGAGCGCCCGAAGGCCGCGTGGGGGGGGCCTCCCGGCCTCCCCCCAGCGGCGACTCGGCGAGCCGAGGGCACTGGACCCCCCGCGGCCCCTCTGGGCCTCGACGCGACGGGGAGGAGGCTGCAAGCCGCGGGGGCACCTTATATATTCATGTATATATATATATATATATGCATGCATACACACATACATACATACGTACGTACGTACGTACCTACCGACCTACCTACCTACCTACCTACATACATACATACATACATGCATGCATGCATAAATACATACGTGCATACATACATGCATGCAGGCATGCATACATGCATACATGCATATATGCGAACGTGTACACATGCATACATGCAAACATACATGCAGACATACTTACTTACATACATACATATACACATATGCATATGTATATATATATATATGTATAGATCGATGGACCGATCGATTGACAGTTCGGTCGATAGATCGGTCGGTAGATCCACATATAGGTATACATATATATATATATATATATTATGTATCCCCTGGGGCCGCCCCGGGCCCGGCACACTCCCGGCGACACCCGGCGCTGGGCGGCCGCGCCCCGCCTGCGCACCGGTGTGTGTCGGTCCTGTCCCGGACCCAGCCCTCGCAATGCAAGCGCTGCCTCGCCACCGTCTCCGCGTCCCACGCGTGGTTGGCGCCCGCCTCCTCCGGGCCCGCGGAGCGAGCCGCGTACCCGTGACCCGCAGGTGCCCCCCCAGCCGAGAGGCAGGCACAAGGGCGAGAGAAGTAGGCAACCGGATGTGAGCCCTAGCCCTGCAGCGGTTGCGCGATACTCGACCCATAACCGAAAAAAACAGAACTGCCCACGTTGGACAGACGTGGAAAACTCTCTGTCGCTATGTTGTCAAGTCTGAGCCACACATCGCAAAGCGGGGCATGCCACTCCTTGACAAAAACCTTGCCCCGAGTTGTGGCCACCGCGATCGCCGCAGCGACCTCCAAAAATGGGCTCGGGGTCGGAAATCACGCTACGGTGCAGGTCAGATGTCTCAAACGCCGGCTGGGCTTCAGAGTTCGGAGAGGAGGAGGAGGAAGAGGAGGAGTAGGAGGAGGAGGAGGAAGAGGAGGAGGAGGAGGAGCAGGGGGAGCAGGGGGAGGAGGAGGAGGGAGGCTCCATGAGTCTGGAGCGCCTACCCGCGCGCACGGGGCGGCCGGCCGTGCAGCCGACGAAGTGGTTCGTGAGGATGTAGAAGTAACGGTCTGGACGCCGCCATCCGTGGCTGGCAGCGCACGCCGGGCCTGCAGCGGCGGAACCTGGACGCGCTGGGCCGCGGCGCGGGCCAAAACCTGGGCCACCTCCGGAGGCGGCTGAACCGGGCCAGGCCGGTGGCGGAGCAGGTTGTACGTGTGGTACAGCGTCGCCAGCCGCGCCACCGTTCTGGGGAGCCCGTTCTCGCCGTGCAGCTCTTCGTCGTAGTCCGCCGATGTGCCGAGGCCAAGGCGATGCAGGGGGCACGCGTGCGCGATGGAACGCGTGGCCACGCAGACACTCCACCACGCCCCGCGGCAGCCGGACAGGTAGTGGGAGATTTCGTCCGCATGTCCTTCGCACCCCCACCTGCAGGGCAGCCGCGGCTGACCAACGTGCATGCGGTGCGACGTCGGCCATGCTCCCGCCAGCGTCCGGTAGGCGGCCCAGCACGTGCCCGGAGCCGCGCAGGCCAGCTGGCGTTGGAGCACCGCCCAGCGATGCTGCAAATCGCTCGGGAGGGGGCGCTGGGGCCACCACGCGCGCAGCCGGCGCCCGAGGGTCATGTGGAACGCCTCAGGGTGCAAGTGCTGGGAGGCCACGTGCGCGCGGGTGCGCTGGACGCGGGCGCGGCGTCCCGCAGCAGCAGACTAGCGGACCTCATCCTTCGCCGCGGCATTGCCTGCTGCTAGCGCTTGCCGGCGTCGCTGGCAGAGCCGCTTGCTGGGCGCGTTGACCGCGGCCTCGGTGACCGAGAGCATGTACTGGGCCATAGATTGCGTCCTCGTCCAGACAGGGGCGGCCCAACGCCCTTCCAGGACGGTGCGGGCTGGGAGCAATTCGAATGCGAGTTCCTGCCATTCCGCTGCGAAGTCACGCCACCCGTTGAGCGTGACCTCGGCCGTCCTCCAAGCCGCGGCCCAAGCTGCAGGCAGCAGCGCCTTCAACGCGGGCCCGGGCGCCCATTCCCCCATGCTCAGCAGGTCGTTCAGGGCGAAGCTCTTGGGGGGCGCCTTCAAGATGCGGCGCAACGTATCCAACTCGCCCTTGATGAGGTCCTCTGGCAAAGGGAGGAGCTGGGCCAGGTAGCTGAGGACAGAGACAACTGATCCGTTGTGCATGGTGATCAGTTCTGCCGTCGGCACCGGCACGGTCTGGAGCACGGCCGTGCGCTGCTTGTACTTCGTGGCGGCGGCATGCCATGAGTCTCCGAGGTCTGACCCTGGGCCCAGAACGAACCCAAGGTACTTGGCTTTAGAGGCTATGTCGAAATCAGACCAACTAGGGACGAGTCCTCTGAGAGCTGCGCGGATGGCCTGGAGCGCAGCTGGCAGGTCATCGGCGGCCAGCCACAGCGGCACCAATACGCACTTCCGCGGCTGCAGGTGCAAACATGCGAGGCGCCCCATGGCCTGGAAGTGAGGCTCGATGAGGGCGAGGAGGCCGATGTCCCACATCACGATGCCCATGTCGTCGGCGCAGACGCCGAGCTCGGCGTCCCGGCCTGGACCGAGCAGCCGCGCGGCGCGGGGCGGGCGGCTGGCCAGCGAGCGCGAAGGTAACGCTAGAGCGCCGGCCAGCGCCTCCACGAAGGGGGCCGTGGCGAGAGCCCACAAGGTGCCCGACAGAGGGCAACCTTGAGCAACGCCCGTGAGCACGAGGCACATGTAGAAAGACCGTGCCCCGATGCGCGCCCAACAGTGCTGGCCGTCGTAGAGCGCCCTGATCAACTGGATGCACGAGTCCGGGATGCCGAATTGGGAGCGTGCCGGAAAGAGCCAAGCCCATTCAAGGCTGGGAAATGCCGCAGCCACGTCGAAGGAGACGAGGCACGGGCGGCGGCGAGCGAGGGCCTCCGGGGAGTCGAGCGCGGCGACCCTCGCCTGGGCATCGAGCCGCCACGCGTTCTCCAAGAAGTTCCGGCCCTTGACGAAGCCGCGCTGCGAGCTCGGGACGTGCCTCTCCGCGACAACCGAGAGATACCTGTTGGCCGCCGCCGCCGCCATCAATTTCGCGCCAGAGCTCTTGAGTGCAAGTGGGCGGGTCTTGGCAGGTTCCCGCTCCACCTGCGCCGCCGACGGGGTGTCACCCCCCTTAGGTGCGAACTGGAGCCACGAGGCATTGAGGCCCTCCGGAGGGCACGCCCCGCCCATGATGGCGAGCATGGCTGCGTGCAGGTGCTGGGTAGCTCCAGGAGCCCGGGCCCGCGCGGCATAGGGAATGCCGTCGGGGCCGGCCGCCGCGGGACGGGCGCGTCGCGCTGCCCTCTCCACATCCTCGATATCCGGCAAAGGCAGCTGGGTGTCGGGGAGGCGGGGGAAGCGGCACTGGAGGTAGCTATGGATCTCGTCAGTTGGCACCTCCTTGGCTGCGGGGTCGCGGGCCACTCCTGGTGCTGCGGGAGGCGCCGGCGGCGAGGCGGCAGCAGCGTCTGCCGGGGGCGCGTCGGCTGGACGCATCGCTGGCTGGAGGATTCCCGCCAAAACCTGGGCACTCTGGAAGGGGCGCCACAGCTGGGCCTTCTGGGCGGCTCGCACAGCCCTGCCTGTCCAGAAAGCCCCTTTAGCCTGGGCGCCACGCTGCAGAGCCATGCATGAATTCGCCATGGCAGCCAGGCGGCCCCGGTCGAGCACGGCGGAGGCCGCCGCGCGGATCGCAGCAGCGAAGCCCGCATGGTCAGAGAGAGCAATGCCTGCCTCGGAAGCCGTGAAGACATCTGCCAGCAGCGGGGCTGAGCTGACCAAGACGCTGAGCGCGCGGCTGTCTTCGCGCCAGTGCGCGCGAGCGGCAGCCCGCAGGACGAGCAAGCGCGCATCTGGATAGGGCGCTCTGGTGCTCGAGTCTGGCTCTCGGGTCAACACGTCGCGCGTGGCGCGGGCGGCGACTGAGATGTTGGCTTTCGTGATCTTCCACGCCTCGACCGGGTCCTCAGGGATCCTGGAGAAGGCCACCACCTTCGCAAACGTGGTTGCGAAGAGCGGCTCCTTGCATATCCATTCGGGTATGGGGCAATATCTGCGTCCAGGGTCCTTGGCATTGCTCAGCTCCCATACGAGGATGCCGCGGTCGCTGAGCTTCTTGTCTGAGAGCGCGGCCGGGTCTGAGGCAAGGTAGGCGCGCATGGAGATGCCAAAAACGGCCTCGGGCGGCAGTGAGACGTAGAGCCGGTCCAACGTAGAGGATTTATGCCGGTGTACGTCATAGTGCGTTGGGAAGTCGATCCTGACCTCCATGAAGCGGCCGAGCAGCTGCTGCCAGTACAGGGGCGCGGCGTGATCTCGGCGAGCCTCGTGCTGCCGAGCCCGCTGCGGATCCTTATATGATGAATGGGCGCCGTCATCGAAGTTCAGGTCCCCCCCAACCACCACGAGCCGCAACTGCGGGGCCGCAGAAGCCCAGCTGCGGTATCTTGACACTTCTTCGGCCAGGCGGCGGCGATCATGGTGCGTCAGGCTGTAGTTGTGGATGTTCAGCAACGTCAGGGCTCAAGAGCTGCCCGGAGGGCAGCCGCGAGGCGGCAGCGGCTCATCGGCCACGCGGCCGGGACAGCGGCCAGCGCGGCAATCCAAGCGGTCGCCGCCCTGGGCGTCCGAAGGAGTAGTGGATGATGATATGGATGAAGAGCATGCGCTTGAATGAGAAGTGGTCGACGCACCGGTCGATCCCGAAGGGCTTGTGCTGGTAGATCGTGGACTGGTAGCTGCCACGGAGTGCCCGGCAGAGAACGCACTGCCCGCTCCCCCTGCTCTCTCGGAGCGCGCAGGCGAGGAGCAGCGTGAACATGTTGTCGGATCTGGGAGGTCGTCCGGGGGCACGGCCACAGGCTGTGTCTGGCCAGGCTGCGTTACCGCAGGTTCGTCAGCCAGCGGAGGTGCGACTGACGACAAGTGCATGTAGGGGGAAGCCGCAGGCTGGCCCTCATGGTCCGTGGCCTGGTGCTTCGCGATATGGAGGGCCGCAACGCGGCCAGGAACAATCGCGCCCATCCACATGTGGTCCTCGACGGGGCCCGCGAGGATTCCCATCGGGACCAAGAAGGCCAAGCCGCCCGCACGAGTGCTGTCGGCACATCCCGAGTAAAAGAACGTGTATCGAAACGGCAAGCTCGAGAGCCATGCCCTGAGCTGCTCATCCCCGTGGGCCTCCTGAATCATGACCACCGCGCCTCTTTGTAGAAACTTTCGCAACGCAGCCTGCTTGCGTCTCCGCTTGTCACGGGACGAACAAAATAAGCGATGTGCGTTCCTGAGGAGGAGGAGAGGGAGGAGGAGGAGGAGGAGGAGGAGGAGGAGGAGGAGGAGGAGGAGGAGAAGACCAGGGGAAGGAGGAGGAGGTGGTGGTGGAACTCTGCGTCTTGTCGATGCCGACGCGCAGTGGCCGTTATAACGGGTTGGCTCGAACCTGGCCTGTAGCCAGGTTAGGGCAGGGAGGGCCCGATCCCCTGCCAGGCCCATCCGAAGATTTGTTGGGCCCAGGCTGGCCCGCTCGCAGGCAAGCTAGCCCAAGCCCCACAGGGGCTCACCTGCATGGGGCAACCCTTCGGGGCGCCCCAGGCGAGTCGCAAGTCTAGGCCTCTGGAGGCCCACGGCGTGCGGCGTTCTTGCCGTATCCGCTGGGCCTTGGCCTTATTCTCGGCAATCCTGCGCCGCTGGGTGTCGGTAAGAGAGGGGCGAGGGGGAGGGGCGGAGGCGGAGTCGGGGAACAAAGGAGGGGAGAGACTCCGAACACCTCAGCTGCATAGGCCTCCCCCCCGCGGGGTCCTGGCCGGCCCCAGGATCCTGGGAGGGGCCCGGGGGGTCCTGGGCGGGGGGAAGCGGGGCCGCAAAAGCGGCCCCTCTCTGGGCCCGGCCTGCTGCGGCCTTTCCCCCATCGCAAAATCAGGGGCCCAAGTCCTGGCCCCATCCTCAACTTCCGGGATCTCGGAGACATAAAAGTCAGCCAGGCCCTGCACGAGGAGGTGGTGAGACTGGGATTCATCACTAGGAGCCTCCGGGAGCGCCGCGTCGAGCGCCGATTCGAGCGTCTCCAGAATGCCCTTAGCGATGCAGCGGCAGAGGCCCGGGGGGGGGACCTTCTTCCGCGCAGTCCGGAAGGCCCTGGAGCCATCCTCACGTCCGAGCAGCGTCGCATGGGCCTCGCGCCCGTGGGAGCACTTTCCTCCCCCGGGCGTCGCGACCAGGCGGCGGTGCAGGCCCGCCATGCGGAGCCCGAACAGCCTGGTCGGCGCCTGGCTCAGTTGCCCGTGCTCGCACTGGTCGAAGTCGGTCGTCGTGGTGCACGGCGAAGACTGCAGCGCCAGCCACGGCTCCCACGTCCACGATGTGACGGCGGCAAGCCGCCAGCTGCATGGTACTGGGTGCTCTGACCACCCCGCCGTGCCCGCCACAAGGTGCGCCGCGAGCAGGAGCACCATGGACTGCATCAAGGTGCTCCCCACGGCGAGCTGGATGCGCTGCTGCGGCGACGCGTGGGCAACTCCACAGAACTGGTCGTGGGAGCGGAGCGGTGGCGGCCCTGGCATCTCAGACCACCTCGCCGCACTCCATGTCTCGCACGGCGGTCCTCCTCCCGACATCACGATCTGCCGTCTTAGGATGCCCTCGTGGAATACCACCAGGCTGTCGTGCCGCATCAGGTCGCAGCGCTGCGCGTCTATCGCCACGTCGATGCTGAGGATCATGATGTGCACCTTCTCGGACATCGCCTCGAACTCCGGCGCGGTCTCAAACACGTGCTGGACGTCATCCTTGCGCCTGTGTCCGCAGAACAGGTTGAGCACGAAGATCTCAGCGCGCTGGATCCTCCACGGGATCGTCACCTCTGTGGTCACCCCGCTGTACTTGTCGGTGCGGAACTGGTTCAGGTCGTACCTCTCGGCATGTTGTACTGACGGCCTCGACGGAGCTTGACCTTCTGAACCTTCTTGTAGCATGGCCCTGGCCCCTTCGTCGAGTACAGAGTTGGATTCCAGCTGCACTGTCTTGGCGACGTCCTGCTGGAGCATCACTCTGTCTGGCATGGGCCTTGCTGCCTTGATGGCCGGTATGTTCACCCGTTTTCGCATCAGCCCTCGCGGGAGCGCAGTCGGTAGCTCGCCCGCCGCGGCACCGGGCGCAGCCCCCGCCTCTATGGTCGCGACGAGACATGCGGGCGATGCGATCGCCAGGTGCTCGGTAAGGTGGTGGGTCTGGTCGAACAAGGTCAGGCATCCTTGGCACTGTCTGGCAGAGGCCGCCCATGTGCGTGCTAAGCTGACCATCGTCCAGTGCTGCTGTGAAATGTGGACTCTGAGCCCCCTCTGGCGACGGAACTTCCGCTGGCACCACGGGCATGGCCACTGGCGTGCCGTCGCTGCATCTGCTTCGTCTGTATTCGGGGGCCCGAATGGGCTGCCCTCTCTCGTGGAGTATGGCACTCCTGCTGGCTGCACCATGGCGAAGGAGAGCTTCTCTGCCATGCGTGCTGCATGCTCCCTGCTAAGCTGCGCCGCCGCCGCCATGAGCGCGTCGTTGAGCCTGTACTTCCACGAGCTGTGCGAGCGCTGTACCATTTGCTCCCATGGCCGCAGCTCGTCACTGGGACCAGGGAGGTCCTGCAGGTCCACCGAGTAGCCCTGGAGCCAGCAGAGGTCTGCCATCATCATCTGCGGCCAGGACTGCCGCTTGGGATGCTGGGGCCTCAGTAGAAGCCGGGCCATCGTCGCGAAGGCGAGGGGCGGCCCTGCCTGTAGCAATTCGCCAAAGAGCCGCAGCCGCGCTACTCTCAGCAGGTCCTCAGGGCGGGCTCGGCCCACTCGGACAAGCAGGGCCTCGTCCTCGGCCTCGGGGCGGGCGTCGAGGTCGAGCTCCCCGTCTTCCTTCGTGGCGAACTTCTTCCCCACCGCGGCCCTGTGCGCGGCCATGACCATGGCGCGGTGATACTTGGCCTCCGCGCGCGTGAGCCCTGGCCAACTGCCCTGCGAGAAGCATCTCGACGAACAGACCAGCGCGTCCGCGAAGACCATCTTGGTGGACAGGTCGAGCTGGTGGCTGCGGAAGACCTTCTCCCTCAGCTTCCCGAGAGAGGCGATTGTCGTGGCCGAGCGTCGGTAGAGCTCGGGGTACACCGCCCCATGGTCGTCAATGACCGTCCCCACCGCCACATGGTTGTGCACTGCATGGATGGTGGCCCCCTCGTAGTGCTGCGACCTGAGCTGCACCCTTCCGTGGCGCTCGTGCCAGAATGCGCGCCTTGCACCCTTGGCCCCTTGCCCAGTAAAGGCAAAGAGTACTTCCGACTTGCCGGGATCCAGGTTGAGGACGAGGCCGAACTCGGCAAACGTGTCGAGCACAATGCCCGCGACGACTGCGACCGCCTCCAGCGCGTCGTCGGCCTTGCCAATGAAGAAGAAGGTGCCGTCATCCGCAAAGGCGACGCTGTGGCCTGGGATCTTCTCGAACTCCAGGTCGCTGTCGAACTGCTGCGCCAGCGAGCGGACGTTCGCTCCTGTGACGTAGATGCTGTAGCCCTCCTCCTCAATTCGCGCCTCTGAGACCCTGATGGCCGCGGCCATGGCGATCTCGTAGATCTGGTCGGCGAGGGGTTGCCCTGGGATTGAGGACTTGGTGCCTAGCGCAACATGGTCCGAGCTCTCGCAGACGAACCAAGAGGCCGTGCATTGCTCCTCGACCAGCGCCTTCAGGTGCTCACTGGCACCCGTCCTGTGGAGCAGCGGCATCTCCTCCTCGAGCCTCCTCTTCAGGATCAACAGCGCGGTGGCCGGGACAGCCGTGGACTCGGCCATCGCGCCCTTGTCTGCCGTGGACATGGTTGTGCGCAGAACCAGCTCCCTGACCATGGAGTAGAACGCGTTCTTGACGTCCATGAAGATGGCCGCGAAGGTCAGCATGTTAGCCGCCGCCGCCGTCTGCAGCATCCTGGTAACGACGGACGCGCGCCGTGCGCCTCGACGTCTGACCCCTCCAAACTGTCGGTCGCCGACGGCCTGCGGGACGTGCGTGGCCATCTTTGCCCTGTAGGAGTGCCTGACCCTCTTCCCTACCATGGCCGTGACCGCGAAGCACTTATGGTTGCCGCACTCCTCGGCCTGCTTCTTCTTGTGGTGGTGCCTGTAGCAGCCGCCTTTCCACTGCACTGGTTCCACCCCTGTGCAAGCGAACTTGGCTGTCAGCGAATGGTATGATGCCGCCAGTGTCCTCGGCTGGGTGCGGAAGAGCTCCCCCATCAGGCCGTCAACTCCTGGCGCCGAGTCCTTCGCGATCTTCATTGCCCGCTCCATGTCCGCAAGTGTCGGCGCGCAGCCGGGGTCAAGCACCTCCGGCAGTCTGGTGCCTTTCTCGCAGTATGACGGCATGAGCCTGTGGAGATCCGCGACGGG